TATATATATATATGCATATACATCCATATATCTGATTCAAGAAGATAGGTTTTCCTGTCTGAAGAATGCAAATACATAAGACTATCTTTTCAAATGGCATTACCTGCTGAAGTGTGATAGATAGCTGAAACTTTCTATTTGGGGCAGGAAAACCAAGATATACTGCCACATAAACAAGATATTATAAAACTTAACAATATAAAGAAAGAATTTTGCAGGCAGCAGTTTAAAAGCTAGTACTAAAAAGCAAAAATGAATGGGAAAAACTGTTTCTCTTTTCCTAAGAATTTATTGAATGATTCAGAGGCTGTCAAAGAGATATTTAATAAGCTTAGTGATAGCAAGAAATTTAGAGTCTTCACGGGAAATAAGTAACTTATTTTACCACAAAAAGCAACCTTTAAATTACATGGCTTTTCATATGACCTATAAACAATTTCCAACACAGGATATATATGTTTTATAGTCAAATCTCTCAATATTGATTTATTTTTGTGCACGCCTTAATATATGGCATTACTTTTTAAAACATATTATCTGGATATATGTCAAACCCATAGAAGTAGTCTAATTGTTCATTGTACGGCCTCAAATTTTTATTTCATTGTCTGTTTTGATGTAATTTTTTAGAGTCTTTTCATATGAAATCAGAAAATGCAGCCTAGGTTAGCCTTGAAAACAGCATCCTTTTGCCTCACATAGCCCAGTTCTGGAATTATATATATGTTCTACCACACCCCTCGTTTTCATTGTTTTTATAGCTAAATAATAAGCAGAAATAATTCCTTTTAATTTATCAACAAATAACTGACATAAATTCCATATAACTATCTTAATTAAAGGGTATTTTATGTATTGAGTGCACACATGATAAGAGGTATTTTTAAAAGTAGGCGTAGACAGCCGATATCATGTTCTGAAAGATATCTGTACTCCCCCTGAACACCCACGCTCCAATGTCATCCCCTTACTCACATCCTGCCTTTTTGTGTTTGTAACCCCTGTGTGAATAAGTAAAAATTATGATTTGATTTGAAAAAATAAATTTAAAAAAAGTAGGGGTAGAAAGAGATTACCTATGTGTCACAGAGACTATGTGTGCAATACCTACAACTGCCATTGTTGGTGAGGATTTCAGGATAAAACTCTAGAAAGTTATGTTTAGCACTCAGTCCCAATACATCAGTCAAAGTGATGGTAAAAATCACAGGAAATAATTTGTTTGAACTACACTGGAAATAGAGACAAATAAAAGGACCCAACAACAACCAAACCTATCTGCAAAGTTGTATTTTGAGCTTTCTGTGCAAATAGAGTACAAGTGGTGTGCAGAATGAACTAGCCTCGGTCATCCCTTCTCCATTATTGTCTCAGCTCAGTTCTGTCCTGCAGGTTGTTCCTATAAACTGCCAGGGCTGTATTTAATCTTTCAGTAGGAGCCAATGTCCTCATCTACTAGACCAGGGCATCAGCCTGTCTCTGCTTCACTACATGGTGTTTTGGGGAGGTTATAATTATTTGATATCTGTGTTTCAGTAATCTAAGATCCACAGAGAGGGGTACATATGTTTTTCAGTAGAGTGTCTCTTGTCTGGCAGAGTGGTTATGACATCATCCTTGATGGTCAAAGTGAACTGAATTTTTCTTCTGTAAAGTTAAGAAGCAGAAAGAATGGAAACAGGTAACCTCAGGGGATAGGAGGTGGGGGTGCCCTCCAGAATGTGCAGAAAGACAGGGCATCAAATGAGGGATGGGGTTGCCATCCCACAGTCAAAAACTCTGACCCGTAATTGTTCCTGTCTGGAAGAACTGCAGGGACAAAAATGGAGAAGAGCCGGAGGAAAAGAAGGTCTAGCAACAGACCCAAAGTGGGATCCAGCTCAGGGTGAGGCCCGAAGGCCTGACACTAGTACTGAGGCTAGGGAGTGATCACAAAAAGGGACCTATCATGACTGCCCTCCAAAAGACTCAACAAACAGCCGAAAGAGTCAGAGGCAGATATTTGCTCCCAATCAATGGACAAAGAATGCTAATCCCTGTGGTTGAATTAGGGAAAAGCTGGAAGAAGATGAGGAGGAGGGAAACCCTGTAGGAGGACCAGAAGTCTCAATTAACCTGGACACCTGGGATCTCTCAGACACTGGACCACCAACCAGGCAGCATATACCTGCTGACATGAGTTCCC